ACAATGTCCATGCCACCCAAAGCAATCTATGAATTTAATGCAATCCCTATCAAGATACCAACAGCACTTTTCACAGAACTAGAACAAACAATCCTAAAATTTGTATGGAACCACAAAAGACCCAAAATAGCCAAAGGAATCTTGAAAAAGAAGAAACCTGGAGGTATAATAATCCTGAATTTTTCAAGATATAGTACAAAGCTGTAGTAATCAAAACGGTATGGTACTGGCACAAAAACAGACACATAGATCAACAGAATAGAATGGAAATAAACCCAGAAATAAAACCATGATTATATGGTCAATTAATCTTTGACAAAGGAGTCAAAAATATGCAATGAGAAAAAGACAGTCTCTTCAACAAATGGTGTTGGGAAAACTGGACAGCCACATGCAAAAGAATGAAATTGGGTCACTTTCTTACATCATACACAAAAATAAACTCAAAATGGATTAAGGATCTAAATGTAAGACCTGAAACCATAAAAATCCTAGAAGAGAACACAGGCAGTAATTTCTCTGACATTGGCTATAGAAATATTTTTCTAGATACGTCTCCTGAGGCAAGGGAAACAAAAGCAAAAATAAACTACTGTGCTATATCGAAATAAAAAAGCTTCTGCACAGCAAGGGAAACAATCAACAAAACTAAAAGGCAACCTACTGAATAGGAGAAGATATTTGCAAATGGCATATTCAATAAAGGGTTAATATCCAAAGTATATAAAGAACTTATAAAAACTCAATGCCCACTAAAAAAAGAAAAAGAAAAACAACAAATCCAAAAAACCCTCAATGTCCAAAAACCAAATAATCCAATTAAAAATGGGCAGAAGACATGAACAGACATTTCCAAAAAAGATAAACAGATGACCAACAGATACATGAAAAATGTTCAACATTACTTATCATCAGAGAAATCCAAGTCAAAACTACAATGAGACATCACCTCACACCTCTCAGAATGGTTAAAATCAACAAGAAACAAAGGTGTTGGGGAGGATGTGGAGAAAAAGGAAGCCTCTTGCACTATTGGTGTGATTGCAAACTGATGCAGCCACTCTGGAAAACAATATGGAGGTTCCTCAAAAAGTTAAAAATAGAACTACCCTACAATCCAGCATTCACACTACTGGGTATTAACCCAAAGAATACAAAAACACTAATTCAAAGGGATACATGCGCCCCAATGTTTATAGCAGCATTATTAACAATAGCCAATGGGGCGCCTGGGTGGCTCAGTTGTTAAGTGTCTGCCTTCGGCTCGGGTCATGATCCCAGGGTCCTGGGATAGAGCCCCGCATCGGGCTCCCTGCTCAGGAGGAAGCCTGCTTCTCCCTTTCCCACTCCCCCTACTTCTGTTCCCTCTCTTCACTGTGTCTCTGTCAAATAAGTAAATAAAATCTTTAAAAAGAAAAAATAGCCAAGATATATGGAAGCTGCTCAAGTGTCCATCAACTGATGAATGGATAAAGAAAATGTGGTGTATATATACAATGAAATAGTGTTCAGCCATAAAAAAGAATGAAATCTTGCCACTTGCAACAACAGAGATGGAGCTAGAGAGTATAATGCTAAGCAAAAGAAGTCAGAAAAAGACAAATACCATATGATCTCACTCATATGTGGAATTTAAGAAACAAACGAGCAAAGGGGGAAAAAAGAGAGAAAGGCAAACCAAGAAACAGACTCTTCACTATAGAGAACAAACAGAGGGTTAACCAGAGGGGAGGCTGGTGGGGAGATGGGTGAAATAGGTGACGGGAATTAAGAAGTACACTTGTCATGATGAACCCCTGGTGATTAAAATAAAAACTTTTAAAAAAAATGCAATTCAAAAACAGGAAAAATTCAATCATATTGTTTTGGAATGAATACATAGGTGGTAAAACCTAATACAAAGACAGTGAAATGGGGGCGCCTGGGTGGCTCAGTCGTTAAGCGTCTGCCTTCGGCTCGGGTCATGATCCCAGGGTCCTGGGATCGAGTCCCGTGTCGGGCTCCCTGCTCAGCGGAGAGTCTGCTTCTCCCTCTCCCTCTGCCCCTGCTTGTGTTCCCGCTCTTGCTGTCTGTCTCTCTCTGTCAAATAAATAAATAAAATCTTTAAAAAAAAAAAAAAAGACAGTGAAATGATTATCATAAGCCTGGCTGAATACTTCCAGTGAGGAATGTATTATGATCCAGAAGGGTACACAGTTTCTGGGGCGCCAGTACTGTTCTATTTCTTGAACTGGATGGTTCCAGAAATATGGATCTTGGATACTTTTTGTATACATGTTATACTTCACATTAAAAAAAAAACGGGATGGTAAGGATAAAACACCAGTCCACACAGATGAATACAGCTAGAAAAAAACAGTTATGTTGACTGGTTCATAACCATGAACCCTAAAGGGAGGTTCGGGCTGCCAGGTAATCATACAACTGCCCACTAACTCTCCTAGAAATATTTTATACCTTTCTGTTCTGAAACCTCTAGCTCTCCTCTCCCATCCTCATCTTCAGTTAACTATTGTTTCCTACTTCAATGAGAAAAACGGAATTAAAGACAACTTCCACAGACTTACCACCATAAATATCCATGTCCCAGAATTTTGCACCCACATATTCTACCTTCCCTCAGAGCTCAACTCTCCATGCTACCATCCTAAGGCCAGTCCACCTATTTGTGCACCAGCTCCCATTCCTTCTTGCCTTCTCAAAGACAGTATTACAGCAACTCTCCCATCTGTCACCCATATCATCAATTTCCTTCAGTAAACATGCTATTATTTCTTTTTTTTTAAAAAAGATTTTATTTATTTATTTATTTATTTCAGAGAGAGAGAGAATGAGAGATAGAAAGCACGAGAGGGAAGAGGGTCAGAGGGAGAAGCAGACTCCCCGCTGAGCAGGGAGCCTGATGTGGGACTCCATCCCAGGACTCCAGGATCATGACCTGAGCCGAAGGCAGTCGCTTAACCAACTGAGCCACCCAGGCGCCCACGTGCTATTATTTCTTAACCCAACTTCTCCACCAACTGCTACCACATTTCTTCCGCTTTTAGTTAAATTTCTTGAAAAAGTTGTCTGCAGTTACTGTCTCTGGCCTTTTCCTTCCATTCTCTCCTAAACCCACCACAATCTCGGGTTTTTGGCTGGTCAAAACTGCTCATCAAGATAATCAATAACTTCTTACGGTCAACTGTCGGCTCTCATCTTCCTTATTTGAGGAGCATGTGACACAGGTTGTATCACTCCTTGCTCTTTGATACATTTGCATCACTTTGGTTTTTGGTAAAGCACTCTCTTCTGATTTTCCCCTTACATATAAACCGGTCATTCCTGCTCCATCTCCACTGCTGGCTGATTCCTCTTCTTCCTTACTTAATGTTGGAATATCCCGGTATGTCTTTGGTATTCTTCCATCCACCTATACTCATTCTCTTGGTACTGTCATTCAGACTCATGATTTAAATACATCTTTATACAACACCTCCAGTTCAGATCCTTCTCTTAAACTCCAGACTCATTTATAATGTCTGCTAGACATCTGAAATTTCACATGTCCAAAACTAATTTCCCCAGTTTTCCCCCAAAACCTGCTCCACCACTTATTAACCATCCTTATCTCTATTTAAGGCAATGCCACCCTGTTGCTAAGACCAAAAACTCTGGCGTCATCCTTGTTTTCTCTCCCCCCATCTAGACAATTAATAAATCCAGTATATTCCATCTTCCAAATATATCCAGAATTTAAGATTTCTTCACCTCCTCCACTGTTACCACTCAGTCCAAGCCACATTCATATCTCACTTGGATTATTGCAATGGCCTCTTATCTGGTCTGTTTATACCCTTGATCCTCTACACTCTATTCTCAACGTAGCAGCAGAAAGACCCTTTTAACATTTAATTTACATATTACCTTTCCTCCGCTCAAAATCCTGTAACGGCTACTCATCTTACTCAGATGAAAAACCAACTATGCATGCCTAGGACAATATAAACCTTTTCTTTTCTGGGTTTAGGAAGCATAAAAATAAACGTGATTCCTAAAGTCAATCCTCAAACCACTTCTGGCCTATGAATAATTTTTACTTACTCCACACTGAATGAGGACAGTGCACTACATTTTTATAAATGTCTCTGTTTACTCCTTTTAACATGTGGCTTTTCCTATTTTTTGTTAATGTTATATTTTTAATAAAATAAAGGTCATTGTAAATGGAAGGTTTTTAAAACACTTTATTACTTGCAAAATAAAGTTTTGGTAGAACTAAATTTTAATGCCTTCACCATTTCTCCTCTTTATGCATTTTTTTCTGAACTAAAAAACAGAACACTTTTACTGGTATATGGAATTGAAAAGTCTGGGGCTACTAGCCAAAAGGATTTAACAAGCATGTACTAAAGCATAGGTAGGAGAATTATATTGACTAGATTATTAGACCCCTCCCCAACTCTGTCAGGACTGGCTGTGTGACATTAAAGTTTTTTGCCTCTCTGATCCTCTTTCCTCATCCATAATGCCCATTAAGTACCCATTTCATAGAAATAGCAAAATTAAATGAGACGATACATTTAAAATATATTGACACATAATAGCCACATGTGTTTTTAGTTAGTGCAACACTATTAGCTACATATTTAGTTAATGCAATGTTAATACAGTAGTGTATGGTGGGAGAGAGTGGAAGGAGGGTTAGTGGGAGTGGATCATATTAACACACAGAAGTATTTTATCCATTTAGGTTCAGAACTGCTGGTGTATGGTGATAATAAAAAGCATTTTGGTCAGATTTATTATTGTTTGTAAATTCTCTGCAGACCATTTACCCTCTTTCTTGCCTTCACCAGCAGACACCACAGCAAAAGACCATCTCTCACATTCACTCACTATTAATGGAGTAACAGGCATGGTATATGGCAAGGACTCAGAAGGCAGTATTAGAGTAAGGTCACCACGTATTCTTAAGTAAACTAATAGTGATTATTTAGAAAATAAAAATATTCACTTACCTTTTTTGAATTTATGTATGGGGAGTTTCTTAAGTTGATCTTTACGAAGTCTGTTTCTTCTAGCTCTATGTCTGTCCTGGACGAATTTTGTAATCTAAAAATAAAGAAAAACAAATCAGATATTAAACATGCAAATAGAAAATGGCCATTAAAATAACAGACATGTTTCTGGATAGCTGCTGTAAATCAATTCAATTAAACCCCAATTGCAATATCATTAATTGAAACACTAATTACATAAGTGAATAGTTTACCTCAAATTATCCTTTGAATTTTTAATCATTGACCTAAGTTATCTTTTTTTTTTAAGGTTAATTTTTTTTATTTTAGTATGTTTTTAAATGTTTTTTATTTATTTATTCATGAGAGTCAGAGAGAGAGAGAGAGAGAGAGGCAGAGGGAGAAGCAGGCTCCCCGCCTAGCAGGGAGCCCGATGCAGGACTCGATCCCAGGACCCTGGGATCATGACCTGAGCCGAAGGCAGACGCTTAACCATCTGAGCCACCCAGGTGCCCCCGAAGTTATCTTTTATCTATTCTAACAGAAACATTATAAATAACATAGAACTGTTTGTTTGCAAATATAAATGATAGACCACAGGTTACAAAGAGTCCACTGGATCAAGAAGAAGGCAGAGTTGAAATTCCTATAAGTTACAAACTAATAAAGTTTGCAAACATACATTTATTAGTCACTGCACTTTCAGTTGTAAGCAGCAAACTGAATCGAAGTACTACAAAACACCTGTACTACGAATACTCAGAAATGCTGGATAAAATATGCAAAATATTTTCAAATATAAGTGACTCTGCTTGCAAGAATGAAAAAGGAAGTCTACAGGGCCAGAGCCAAATGCCCAAAGTTACATCCATAAAAAGAAAATTTTGATAAATTTGACTGTATCAATGTTAAGGACTTCTGTCCTCAAAAGACACTTAAAAAATAAAAGACAAACAACAGACTGAGAGAAAAGATTTGCAAATTGCATATTTGATAAGGGATTTGTATCCAGAATTTATGAAGAACTCAAAACAATAAAAAAAAAGCAAACCAATAGAAAAAAAAATTGGACAAAATATCTGAATAAACGCTTCATCACAGAAGACAGCTGCATGGAAAATAAGCACTGGAAGAGATACTCAACATAATTAGTCAATGACAAATGACAATTCAAATCACAAATGCCACTATACACCTATGAAAATGACTAAAATTAAAAAATTAAAAAGACTAACTATGGGGCACCTGGGTGGCTCAGTCATTAAGTGTCTGCCTTCAACTCAGGTCATGGTCCCAGGGTCCTGGGATCGAGCCCCACATCGGGCTCCCTGCTCCGCGGGGAGCCTGCTTCTCCCTCTCCCACTCCCCCTGCTTGTGTTCCCTCTCTTGCTGTCTCTCTCTGTCAAATAAATAAAATAAAATAAAAATCTTAAAAAAAAAAAAGACTAACTGTATCAAGTGTTGGCCAGGATGCAGAGGAACTGGCACTGTGATATGCTACTGGTATAACCACTTGAGAATGCTGATGGCTTTTTTATAACTTTAAACACACATTTACCATATGACTCAATCATCCCACTTCTACTTATAGTTACACAATGGAAATGAAAGTACCAATTCATATAGCAGCTTGTACACAAATGTCCATGTCAGCTTTATTTGTAATATCCAAAAACCAGAAACAACTCAAATATCTATCAACAGGTAAATGGATAAACTGTGATATATTTATATAATCAAATACAACTGGATTAAAAAAAATGAATCAATATACTCAATAAAATATATGAATCTCAAAATAAACATCCTGAGAAAAAGAAGGCAGACACAGAAAAGTACATAGTATATGAGTCCATGTGTATAAAGCTGAAAAAAATGCCAATATATAATGACCAAAAGCAGGTCTGTGTTGGGATGGGGGGCAGGAAAAGGATGAGGACGTGAAGGGGTGAGAGGGAGGGATGGTTAAGAAGCTTGAGGAAGTTTCTTGAGTTGACTGATATTTCAGTATCTTGATTGTGGTAGTGCTTTCAAAGGTAGGCGTGTGTGTGTGTGTGTGTCTGTGTCTCAAAACTTACCAAATTTATATATGTGCAGTTTATGTTAATTATACCTTAAAAGTGATTATTAAAAAACTGAATAGTAACCACTAGAAGAATAACCCTATAATTTAAGTTTTTAAAGCAGTAGGAGAAAGACTGAGACAGAGAGAGTTGAGTAATCCAAATCTGCAAAGAAGAAAAAATAATAAAAAGTAAGCAATAGAAATTATTCCAAATATATGTGTAATCACAAAAATATAAGTAGATTAAATTCACCAGGTTTCTTTTTTTTGAAGAGTACATCATACTGGATAAAGAAAAAATTGCAACGATATGCTATTTACAAGACAAAAAATTAAAACTTAATGACACATTAAGAAAAATATAAAGGTAAAAAATAAAGGGATAAAGATATACCATGGCAATACAAGCAAAAGAAAAATTGATGTATCAAGTAAAACAGAATTTAAGACAAAAATCATTAGGAGGTCGTCATGACAATGATTAAAAAAAATCCCAGAAAACGACAAAATTATGGGCATTCACAAGCTCAGTAATTTATAGTTGAAGCAGAGAAAAAAATTAAAGACTACAAACCTATGCTACCCAATATGACAGCCACTAGGCACTTGAAATGTGGCTAGTTATCATTTGAGATTTGCTGTAAAAGTATAAAATATACACCAGATTGTAAATACTTAGTAAAAAATAAATGTAAAATATATTGTACAGTTATTTGTATTAATTTGGCTACCAAAAAATTTAAAATTACAATAAATGTGGCTTCACAGTATTGTTCTATTGCCTAGTATTGTTTTAGAAAACACAAGAGTATAAAAACTATAGAGAACGGTGATGATTGCACAATTCTGTGAATATACTAAAGACCACTGAATTACGTACTTTTCATGGGTCGATTTTATGTTATGTGAATTCTATCTCGATAAAGCGGTTTTAAAAATATATTTTTTTAAAAAGACTATACGAAACAGTTGCACAAGCGCAAACTAATGTACATACCTAGAACTTTGCACTCCATAATTCTTTTCACATATGTGGTGGATGTTCACAAAATTTAGCCACAAAGCAAGTCTTTGGAAATCACCAAAGAATCTATTAACACACAGTGTCTTCTGACCACAATAAAATTGAATTAGAAATCAATAGAAAAAAAAGATATGGGAAAATATATATATATTTTGGAAATTTAAAACTTTATTAAAATAGTTCAGACATCACAGAAGAAATCATAGTGGATATATGATAATGGAGAAATACGATCATGAGAAATGAGATCATGAACTGGCAGACAGAGGCAGGTGGAGTACCTAACACAGTGGAGAAAGAAATACAACTTTTTTTACTGAACCATAGAATTAGATTACCTTACCCACCCAGATACAAATAAAACAACTCTAGAATGGGACAGGCCTTCCCTTCACCCAGTCCCAGAACTGCAGAATTAGTCCTGGATGAGGTGGAGATAGGTTAATCCCAAGAGAAAGGTGGAGCTGAGCAAAACATGCCCTAGGTTGATTCTTCCCAAATACACCACACAGATAAGATACGTCCTCTCTCCTAAGACCAAATGAGTGAAAGGGTAAGGAAGGGCTAGGAGTTATAGTAATTGAGTTCTCCCTTCTTGATGGAAACATCAAGAGTGGTAAAGAAACATCCTATATAACAAAAAAAAATTTTAATGTAAACCAAATTAAAATACAAATATTCCTTATCAAAAGCTATGAGTTGCAGCTAAAGTAATTGTTAAACAGAAATTTATAACCTAAATGAGTATACCAGAAAGAAAAATATTAATAAGCATTCAGCTGAACAGGCTAGAAAAAGAAAAGCAATCTTATGCAAACAAAATAGAAGAAAGAAAATTATGCTAAGAGCAGAAATTCATGAACAAACTGTGTTGGGAAAAGTGGACAGCCACATACAGAAGAATAAAACTGGACTACTTTCTTACACCATACACAAAAAATTGTACAACATTACTTGACCATCAGAGAAATACAAATCAAAATCACAATGAGATATCACCTCACACTGTCAGAATGGCTAAAATTAACAAGTCAGGAAACAACAGATGTTGGTGGGGATGAGGAGAAAGGGGAACCCTCCTACACTGTTGGTGGGAATGCAAGCTGATACAGTCACTCTGGAAAACAGTATGGAGGTTCCTCAAAAAGTTGAAAATAGAGCTACCCTACGACCCCAACAACTATTAGGTTTTTATTCACAGGATAAAACATAACAATATGAAGGGGCACATGAACCCCAATGTTTATAGCAGCAATGTCCACAACAGCCAAAATATGGAAAGAGCCAGATGTCCATCGAGAGATGAATGGATAAAGAAGATGTGGTGTGTGTGTGTACACGTGCACACGTGCGTGCACACACACACAGGAATATTACTCAGCCATCAATAAGAATGAAATCTTGTCATTTGCAACAACATAGATGGAACTAGAGGGTATTATGCTAAGTGAAATAAGTCAGAGAAAGACAAATACTGTAGGATTTTCACTTATATGTGGAACTTAAGAAACAAAACAGATGAATATAGGGGAAGGGAAGGAAAAATAAAATAAAATGAAAATTGAGCGGGAGGCAAACCGTAAGAGATGCTGAACTCCAGGAAACAAAATGAGGGTGGCTGGAGGGAAGAGGGTAGGTGGAAGGGATAATTGGGTGATGGGCATTAAGGAGGGCACTTGTAATGAGCACTAGGCCTTATATGCAACTGATGAATCACTAAATTCTACCTCTGAAACTAATGGAAAAAAAAAAGAGCAGAAATTCAGGAGACAGACAATAAAAGAAAGTGAAGACTTTAGAATTTAACTTCCACTGGAATCTAAGCTGCTTTACATCAGGCATTTTTACCAGTTTGGTTCACTGATGAATCTTCGGACCCCATAGCAGTACATCATAGATGCAAAATAAATATTTGTTGAGTGAAAGGAACAAGAGAAAACCCTCAAGGTCTACTTCTTTGAAAGACAAAACACGTAAACTTCTGATAACACTGTGAAAGGCATGGACAAATATGAATAAAGAGAACTCATTTCACATACAGTAGAAATTCTCTTTAAAAAAAAATTCTCTTTAAATTGTTATGTGAGTAGCACTTGATTCCACTATACTTGAAAACAGATAAAATAGACAATTTCTTAGAGATATAATTTAGGGGGATCCTCGGTGGCTCAGTCGGGTAAGCGTCTGACTCTTGATTTCGGCTCAGGTCATGATCTCAGGGTTGTGAGATCGAGCCCTACATCGGGCTCCGCGCTGGGCGTGGTAGTAGAAAAAGTAGACAACCATCTGAAAGTTCAGGTAACTATGAAAAAAGTCAACAGGCCTAGATGATTTTGTAAACAACCTTCACCAAAAAGTAATATATAATCCCAACTTTATGAAAAGCTGTTTTAGAAAACAGAAAATAAGGGTTATTAGTTTTATGGGGCTAGTTTTATCTTGTCTAGTTATTTATTTGTAACTGCTATAAGTAGACCCATGCAGTTCAAATCCATGTCGCTCAAGAGTCAACCATATGGCAAAATACATTAAACTTACTATCTTAACCATTTTTAAGTGTATGGTTCTGTGGCATTAAGTACATTCATATTACTGTGCTACCATCACCACCATCCATCCATAAACCTCTTTCCATCTTGCAAAACTGAAACCCTGTATTCATTAAATAATTCCCCACCCTCCCCTCCCTACAACCCCTGGCAACTACCAATCTACTTTCTGTCTCTGAAATCTGACTACTCTAGGTACCCCATATAAATAGAACCATACAGTATTTGTTCTTTTGTGGCCAGCTTATTTCAGTTAGCACGTCTTTAAGGTTCATCTACATTGTACATGTATCAGAAATCCCTTCGTTTTTGAAGCTAACATTCCACTGTATGTCTATACCACATTTTGTTTATCTGAAAACCCATTTTGTTCATCCACTGATGGACAATTTGGTTGCTTCCACCTTTGGGTATTGCAAATAATGCTATTATGAACAAAGGTGCACAAATATCTGTCCAACTCTCTGTTTTCAAATCTTTTGGGTATGCACCCAAAGTGGAGTTGCTGGATATAATAATTTAATTTTTTAAGGACTTGCCATACTGTTTTCTACAGTGGCTGCTCCATGTGCTCATGGGATTGTCCAGTTTTGACGTCAAGATTATTCTGGGGGTGCCTAGGTGGCTCAGTAGGTTAAGAATCCAACTCGATTTTGGCTCAGGTCATGATCTCGGGGTTGTGAGATCGAGCCCTGCTGAGTATGGAGTTGGCTTAAGATTCTCTTTCTCCCTCTCCCTCTCCCCCTCCTCTCTCGCTCCCTCACCCTCTCTCTCTCTCCCTCCCTAAAAAACAAAACAAAATAATTCCATTAAAAAAAAAAAAAAGATTATTCTGGCCCCATAATACTAAAACTTTCCCTTACCTGGACATTCAAAATGCTAATATTTTATTTAGAATTTTTGCATCTGTACAAGTATAGAACTAACTGATCCATATTAGAAATCTGAGTAATCCAAAATACAAAGCTAAAATTTATACATTATAATCAAATACAAGGATTTTTAAACTTTACAAAATAATGTAATCCAACATAAAAAGAGAGTAAAAGAGAAAAAAAACAATGATCATTACAAAAGATAAAAGACATATAATTCAGCACCCATTCATCATTAAATAAGGAAAAAGAAAATTTTGGTTTATTTCTAATTCTTATACAGTTTTTTTTCTCTCAATTTATCAGAAAAGACAGCATACTGTTAAATAGGAGGTTCAACAATAAGTAGCCTTTTTTTGTTGTTTCTGACTTTCAAGGGAAGTCTCCTAATAAGTTAACCATTTAATGATGTTCATTTTCAGTTTTTAGTCAATAATCTTTACTGATAAAAGGGTATTTACATCTACTCCTACTCTGCCAAGGGTATTTTTTTGTTACTCTTTCTATTACTCTTTGCTCTATACTGAAAACCTCAGAGAATCAATAAATTCAAATTACTGGAGTAGAATTCAGCAAGTTTGTAGATACAAGATTAATATATGAAAATGAAGTCCAGTGTCCAAATCCTGGTTTCTAAATATAACTCTTCAATAAAAGAAACGAGGGCTCCTTGAAGAAATGTCTAATTCTAGGGCTGGGGCAAGAAAAATATGAGTCTGAAGCTTCTTATAGTACCAGATACTAAGGAAGTGCTTAGAAAAACTAGAGGACGGATCAAATCAAAGGGACACATGACCCATCTTGACAGAGCTCTCCATGGCCAAAGTTCAAAATTTGCACAAGATAAACAAGTAACACAGTATTGGATTATAACCCAAAGTATAAAATAAATATACAGGAGTACATATTAATATAAATAAATGATTGAAGAAATAAATAAATGCCAAGAAGAGGCACATCTTTCTTACAAAAGAATTCCAAATAATGTATATAGTAGATACTCTCTCCTACTCCCCACTCCAGATATTGTCTGCCCCTCCCCACCTTTAGGGTGTGCTATACAAGTGCCTCACTTCCGAAGTAAGAATAGAATAGAAAATGAGAAAATTATTAACTTTATAATAAAGGGGGAAAACCTGGCTTAACCAAGGAATGAATGTTAATACCATTAGTGATGTTATGCAGATACCATGTACACCTTGACATAAGAAGAAGAGCACTTCACCTGTTTTTAAAAACTTATTACCTCCTCCCAAAAAAAACCTATAACCCAGTGTAATCATAAGAAAAGCATCAGATTGAGGGACATTCCACAGGATACCTGTCCAAGACTCCCCAAGACTGTCAAGGTTATGAAAAACAGAGAGAGACTGAAACTGACAGACTGTCAGAGAACAGAGGAGCCTGGGAAGACATGCTAACTAAATAAAATGTGGTGCCCTATTTTGGATCCTGGAACAGAGAGAGAGTATTAATGGAAAAACTAATGAAATCTATACAAAGTCTGGAGTTTATTTACTAGTAATGTACCAATGTTAGTTTCCTAGTTTTGACAAGTGGACCAGGGTAATGTAAAATGAGGGAAACTAGATGAGGAACGTACAAGAATGCTCTTTTTTGCAATTTTTCTGTAAATTTTAACATTATTCAAAAATTAAAAGTTTGTTTTTAAAAAAATCAATAATCTTCTTGTATCCTAATAATAACCACTTCGAAAATGCAATTTCAAAAGTCTAACAAAAGGGGCGCCTGGGTGGCTCAGTCGATTAACCATCTGCCTTCAGCTCAGGTCATGATCCAGGGTCCTAGGATCAAGTCCTGCATAGGGCTCCCTGCTCAGCAAGGAGTCTGCTTCTCCCTCTACCCCCTCCTGCCTGCTTGTGCTAATAAATAAATAAATTTTTAAAAAGATTTTATTTATTTATTTGACAGAGAGAGATAGCGAGAGCAGGAACACAAGCAGGGGGAGTGGGAGAGGGAGAAGCAGGCTTCCCGCCGAGCAGGGAGCACAATGAGGGGCTCGATCCCAGGACCCTGGGATCATGACCTGAGACAAAGGCAGACGCTTAACAACTCAGCCACCCAGGCGCCCCTAAATAAATAAAATCTTAAAAAAAAAAAAAAGTCTAACAAAAGACATGCAAAATGTTTACAGAAAAAAAGTTATTAAATTGATGGATATAAAAGATCTAAATAAAAGAAATACCACAGCATCACAGAAAGACTGAACATTTCAAAGATATCTTTTACTCTCCAAATTAATCTATAATGTCCATATAATAATAAACTCATTGAATGTTATTATAAATATCCTATATAAAAAATAAAGTGAGAATACGGGGATTGTTTTATATGGTTATGATTCTCTTTTAGTATCTATCTTAATACAGAGGTTTTCTCTTATCTGCTTCTGCCTTCAATTTGTTTTTGTATCACAAACCATGTAGCTTTTAGAAACTTCCACTTTAAACCCTAAGAGAATGAGGGTGATAAAAGGCAAATAATATCTTAGTATTATTATGAAAATAATTCTGACTTCACAGACCCATTAAGAGTCCTGGGACCAAAAAAATAAATAAATAAAAGAGTCCTGGGACCATACTTTGGTAACCACTGTTTTATAGATAATGTGTCATCACCCTTAACCTCAAGCATTCATGCTATTCTTTATTTACATTGATATGAAAATTTTCAAATACAGAGAAGAATTGAAGAAATTTTATAATACCCATATACCCACCACCTAGATTCTACAATTAACATTGTATTACACTTTTTATACCTATCTTTCCATCCCTTTATTTACCCATCAAAACACCTCCTTCTCTTCATTTTTTTTTCAATGCACTTCAAAGTAAGTTGCAGATAATCAGTATATGTCTCCCCAAATACTTTAGTATATGTATCATCAGTTAGAGCTTAGTATTTCTTTTACAGTATTTTTTTTCCTTAGGTAAAATTTATATACAATGATATGCAAAAAATTTAAGTGTACAGACATTTGTGCAACCTCTCTCAAGATCCAGAACATGACTTAGCCCCAAAAAGTTCCCTCATACCCTTCTCAGTAAGTCCCTTACCCCCTTCTTAGCCCTCCAGAAGCAATCACTGTTCTGATTTTTCTACCCAGATTATCTTCACCTTTTCTAGACCCAATCATATAAATGGACTCATACAATATGTACCCCTTTATGTAAGGCTCCTCTCACTCAATACAATGTTTTTTAGAACCATCCATACTATTTTTAAAAATACATTTAACATTAATTTACCTACCATGAAAATGACTATCAAGATGAGACAGATGCCCACTATGATAAGGAAGGGGATTAGATAGTATTCCAGAGGAAGACTAAATTCTGGAACTAAGATAATGTGGCCCCTAGAAGAAAACAAAAATTAGTAATTGAGAAATACTAAGAGTTGCCAAATTATAATGTTAATTAAAAACAAAAACATTGTTTAAAAGGCATTTAGACATTACAATTCAATCCACTATACACATCTCATCTTCTAATGCACAATTTCTAATAATTTAAGAGATACTTTCTCCATCTTTGTTTCTTCTACATATTTGCCAAAATAACTTGCCTATATAATTAAAGAAGCTTTTAGACTGGGTACAGGAAATCAGCCAATCAATACTTACTGTGTCCATCCTGGAAACATGTTATTTATTGAATTTAGTAACCTGGGCAAAATTCTGCATATTTTACATGCAAAATCAGCATTCAAACAATCGTAGTACCTTGGGTACTATGTCAACAAAAACCCTCACCCCAATGTCCATATTTATCCTATTCATTGGTTCCTCCTATGGTAAAGCTCTGAAGCCACTATTAACAAAAATATCCTCCCTCCTCCCTATATGCTTTACATGAACTTCTTATACCAGGTACAATGGACATAGCCCCTGTACTCTATATTCATCTGTGAGATATGGAATACAAAACTGGTAAAGGAATTAATAAGAATTGTAGCTTCCTCCCTATTCTCCACCCTCCCCATTGCTTGACTGGAAAAAGCTTAAGAAAAAAAAAAAAGGTGTATGTTGTAGGGAAGGGTTGGAGAATTCTACCTGCCTTGTTCCCCTTTGTTATTAACCATGTTATTACTTATGATGGAATTACTATTACAAAAATTGACAGGGACTCATGAAATGAAACTGTGATCAGAATAGGCACGCTACTGGGGCACCTGGGTAGCTCAGTCGGCTAAGTGTCTGCCCTTGGCTCAGGTCATGATCTGGGGGTCCTGGGATTGAACCCCACATGGGGCTCCCTGCTCAGCAGGGAGTCTGCATGTCCCTCTTCCCCTCACCCTGATCATGCTGTCTCTCTCTCTCTCAAATAAATAAAATCTTAAAAAAAAGAAAGAATTGGCACACTATTTTTGTTGTGTGAGCCAATTTTACATGGCTGCAAAATCCTGCATTAGAAAATATCTTCAGTGTGGGGAAGGGCCTGTATAATGGTAATAGGACTGCTTTCTCCATTGTACTCTTGTGCTACCGACTAGTATGGTGCCAGTAACACTACATTGTAACCCACTGCTGGGTGATTTTTAGGCAGTGAAGCCTGCTACTTCATAACACAAGGGTTAAATGCAAAACAAAAATTCTCAATAAAAGCGAAATAAAAACTCGTCAATTCCTTCCCCCACACAGAGATGTTTAGGACACCATAGGACTTAAGAAAAATAACATGAAATCAAACTAAGCAATTTTTAAGTCTTCATGCTATTATTTATTATATTCATATGTAGGGGGCTCTATCAAGCTTTACCAAATACAAAAACAAATAAAAAAGATAATGCAAGGAATTTCCCCCGAATTAAGTAAAATATTTTCCCAAAACTGCTGAGAATGCTAGAATAAAAGTAGCTTTTTATTTCAATCACTTTCCAGCAGAACAGGGGATGACAAAAGATTTGCATGCGTTTTTGTAGCTTTACATAAAATACTAAAATGACTGATCTATCAGGGTAAAAAGAGAAAAGCAGCAGGGCTGGGCTGCCGTATTTGATGCCGTATCCTCCAGCATGAGGCCAGGTCTGGAAGTAATGTCCCTACGCTTGGCACAAATCTGAAACCATCTGAGCCACTGCTGAGATAGTAACAGTGGTGCCACTTTTAAGTAGAAGAACCTTTCCGTACGATGCTAACCTTCTGCAACCTCCCTACCCCACTCCTACCAACGTGCTATAAATTAACATTGTCAGGGGTTAGAAGCCAGACTACTGCATACCTAAATTCAACCCATTATAGAATCTAAATATTTCAGCAACAGCAAACTTTACATCTCTTACATTGGTTTTCTTCTGCTCCTTTTATGTTAACAACTTTCTAATGTACATGTGGCATGGAGGAGATAAACAAATAAACCCTGTCCTATGAGACAAGCCAAAGGGTTGCTCAGAAATGAACAGAACTGCCAGGTGAGAAGGAGCTAAATGAACAAAGCAGGAAGACTCAGGGAACTGGAAATTAAAAGACTTTATTGAAAACATCCTACATATGTGTAACCACAGAAATGAATCAATTCCAAAATTTTGTTGTAAGCACTGTGTTAGGATTCACAGACCTGGGTTCTAAATCTAGTGTTCTTTACGTCCTATTAATGCTTGCCTGCTATACCTCAAACCATTTTAGTTTACTATCAAGATGTACTGGTGAGAATTTTTTAAGGGTCTACAACTGATAGAAGGTTTTAAGCATCTTAAAGCAAGAGTTCAATGCACATTCAAGACACTGCTACTTCGTAAGCAAATTGCTAATGGTGGAGGGTGGTGATAGTAATGATCCAGGGCAGGGAACTACAATAGACAATCAGTCAGTCCTCCAGCTTTATTTCTATTTCCTCTGTCTGTCTAGGCTCCCACAGCTGAGCCTACAGACTTCTCCCTCATGTCCTAACCCGAGGTGAATCTGTATCTGAAGGAGATACTGAAATAGTGTATTTTACCACACTGCCTCCACGTCCACCCCTCCGCACAGTATATTCCATGAGCTCTGCAGCTAAGATTTGACCATCGAAGCAGAGTCCTAAGTAACTCAGGAAATAGTGTCTTATTCTCCTTTGTAGGAGTTCCCAGGCTAATTTCAAACCAGGTGTCTAGGCCTAAACTTTATAACAATAATCTAACTTCCCAATCCCTCTGGGAAATGACTGCAAATATATATATATATATATATGGTTTCTATTTGGGGCGTTGGAAAATTCTAAAATTAGAATGTGATGATGGCTGCACAACTCTGTAAATATACTAAAATCACTGAATTGTATACTTTAAAATTGGTAAATTTTATAGTACATAAAATATGTCTCAATAAAGCTGTACAAATGTTTGTTTGAAAGAACAGGCACACAAGAATGGCTACGAAAACCTGAAAGAGAGGAGTGGGCATGGGGAAAGGCACGCCCTATCAGATACTAATGCGTATAAAACCCTATAACACAAAACAGAGTGGTATTGGTGGGCAAAAGATAAAGAAAATTCAGTTATGTATGGAAATATGGCAACATCTAAATTGGATGAAGGTACAAACATTTGAAGTAGTAGTGTTGGGATATCTGGATGGTTATTTGACAAAAGATATAATTGGTTCCATTTCTCAAGCTTTAAATAGGATAAATTACAAATAAGACAAATTTAATGTTAAAAATGAAACCATACAAGTATGAAATGTGGGGAAATTCTTCCGTAACCTAGAAGCAGGGGAAACTTTCCTAAGACTCAAGACCAGCAGCCCATTGGAAAAGATTAACATATTTGCATTTAAAAAAATAACACAAGGGGTGCCTGGGTGACTCAGCTGGTTGAGCGTCTGACTCTTGATCTCAGCTCAGTTCTTGATCTCAGGGTTCTGAGTTCAAGCTCCACACTGGGCTCCACACTGGGTGTGGAGCTTCATTAAATAAATAAAAATAAAAATAAAGTAAAATTAAAATGACAAAGTATTAGAAAGTGCTTGTAATATATCACAAACAAATGGTTAACATACCTTATAAATAAAGAGCTTCTAAAAATAGACAAGAAAATTACCAACAAGCTACAGGAAAAATGAGCTAAAGATAAATAGTTCAAAGAAAAGCTCTTATATATAAGAAAAGATGCTCAATTTGCTCATATAAAGAAAATACATACTGAAACTACAACAGGAAACCATTCCTCCACTATCTAGTAAAAACTGAAAATTCTAACATACTTTGTTGATGAGGCTGTGGGAAAAGAGACATCGTGTATCGCTGGCACAACCCTTATGGATGGGAATTTATAGTATCTAGAAAAAATACATTTAACCTTTGACCTAGCAATCCCACTTTTAGAAATCCAAAGGTATACTAGCAAAAACATAAAAAGACTTCTACATAAGGTTATTCACTATAACACTATTTGTTACAGCGAAAGAATGCAAACAATTCTAATGTCCATCAGCAGAGGATCTGGCTGATTAAATAGTGGCCCATCTACAAAATGGAGTTCTATGCAGCTGTTAAAAAGGAATGAAGAATGTATCTACTCCTATGTGATCACCAGGATATACTGTTAAGTGGGGGTGGGAGGGAGGAAGTATATGGTATGGTCTTTATGTATTGAGCGTGAAAGATAAGGGACAAGAGATAGGTATTTGATTATAATTTTAAAGAATTCAAGAATAAACTAAAAACTTTTTAAAATTGTTACTTAAGAGGTGCCTGGCTGGCTCAGTTGGAAGAGCATGCAACTCTTGATCTCAGGTCATGAGTTTGAAATGAATAAACTTTATTTTTTTTTTAAAGATTTTATTCATTTGACAGAGACAGAGAGAGAGAGAGAGAGAGAGAGCACAAGCAGGGGGAGGGGCAGAGGGAGAAGAAGAAGCAGACTCCCTGCTGAGCAGGGAGCCTGATATGGGGCTCGATCCCAGGAGCCTGGGATCATGACTTGAGCCAAAGGCAGCCACTTAACCAACAGAGCCACCCAGGTGCCCCAATAAATTTTAAAACTGTTACTTAAAAGGTTAGGATGGGAACAGGATGGACAGAGCAGATGATATGTAGAAGCTGGACTTCTCTGAATATATACTGTGTTTTGTTGATTTTGACTTTAAGTTTATATATAATAACAAAAATCACAATGGGGGTAAAAAGCAATCCCTAAAATCTAAAAGCAACATGAATCAAATAGGTCTGTGCTTCCAGCTGATAGCACACAGAATATTTTACATGTTTTTAAAACATGGTAATTTGATTTTTAGATCCTTATTATGATATACCTTAGAAAGAATTTTTTTTTAAAACAGCAGTAGTGTTGGTATTGTTCTGTTATGTGTGTATTGTGCAACTAAAAAAGAAAACAATTACTTTGGTGTCTCTGAGCACAGAAAAATAAAATATAGAT